GTAGGTGATGGGGAGGAAGGCAGCAAATCACACTGCCATGTGTGTACCTATGCAACAATTTTGCATGTTCTTCACATGTACCCCAAAACCTAAAATGCAATAAAATAAATAAATGGGGGAAAAAAAAAAGATCAGAGGATGTGGAATAAAATTAATGCAAAGAGGAAGATGCATGAAAGAAAATAAGGAAATGGAAGGAAAATGTCATATTACAGCGACATTATATAGAGAGAGGTTTTATGCAGCCAGTACTTTGGAATTGTCCATGTGGGCAAAGAAAAGGAGTAAGGAAGTATTTTTGCTCCCTTCCTATCTTTTGTCAGTCATTGCATTACTGGGTTGTGGAGAACCAATAACATGCCCCATACATGACCCAGCCCTTCTTCCTCTGATCCTGAGAGTACTGGTTGGAGCCAGAGCCTCCATGGGTTAGGATTAGATTAGTATTGGTCCTATATAGGCCTACATCTCACCTCCAGGGAGGCTGAGACAGTAGGAACATGTGGCACTGACTGGGGAGAAAGGCAAGTATATATAGCTACATTAAAACATTCTGTTCTAGCCCATCAGAGTCTGTTATATATTCTTGCTTCTGAATAGTCACCTCAGGCACACAATTGATAAAGAGTAGTTTAAAGATTTAGATTTCCCAATTGATTGTCACTGGGGTTATTGTTGATGTTGTTGTTTACAGTAATACTTTATATCATGTTTAAGAACTCTCAAATTATTATATGTAATAAGAAATTTAAATTTGTATTCAAACACATGTGAGCTTCATGCTTTAATGGGACTTCCTCTGTATTCGAATTTTATACTTTGTCTTGTTTGATCTTATGTTATTTTTGTAGTAGGTGTGTCAAAAGAATGACCTGATTTTTTTTTTTTCATTTTTGTCTTTCTCAAGGCTGATCACACCCTCACTACTTTGATAAAGAATACAATAGTCTTTGTTTTATCTTTTATATAATAATAAGATTTTACTACCACTAGAAAAATTATGTAAGTTTACTCTGGATCACTAATTAGAACTATTTGTCTTATTTCTTATTTAATTTAATAATACATCTTCCTGCTGTTAATGAAAATACCAAAAAAAAAAAAAAAAAACCAAACTTGTTTCTAATGCTTTAAGAAATTGATCAAACTTTAAAAGATGTGTTTGAAATTTGGAAAATCAAAATAAAACTTTTTTTCTTTGAATGTATAGTATTTTGGATATGTTGAAATTAGAAGGAAAAATGATGAATGGCCTTCGCAATCTTGGGATCAATGGGGAAGATATGAGCAAATTTTTAAAATTAAAGTCACACACTTGGGAACATACTTATGTATTAGATATTCGACATTCTTCTATAATGGTAAGTGCTTATATTATTCCTTGTTGTAAAACCTGTAGTATACTTAAGGCTTAACATAAAATGAAATATTGGCAGGCCTGACGATAAATTTCAGCATTTTGGAACAGTTGTCAGTGAAAAGAGAAAGTAAAACTATAGACCCATCTCCTCTCCCACTTGCAAATTCCTTCTCCTTCTTCATAGTCTATTTTGTCACAAGAATACCTACTCACTCTCATTCAGTGTCCTTTCCAACTTCAGAGATAAAACAAGAAAAAAAGAATAACCACATGAACAATAATAACAATAAGAAACCAAATACATAGTTAGAATCTGAGATTTATAACAGTGCTACCTTGGGCTAGGCATGGTGACTCATGCTTGTAATCCCAGCAGTTTGGGAGGCCAAGGTGGGCAAATCACAAGATCAGGAGTTTGAGACAAGCTTGGCCAACATGGTGAAACCCCATCACTACAAAAAATACAAAACATTAACTGTGCGTAGTGTTGGGTGCCTGTAATCCTAGCTACTCAGGAGGCTGAGGCAGGAGAATCGCTTGAACCCAAGAGGCAGAGGTTGCAGTGAGCCGAGATTACGCCACTGCACTCCAGCCTGGGCAACAGAGACTTGTCTCAAAAAAAAAAAAAAAAAAAAAAGTGTTACCTTAACATGATGAAAGCCCTGCCTAAACAATTTGCAGTGGCTTCCAAAGGTTCTGGTTTTTGTGTATTACAGCTTAAGTGATTTTTTTTTTAAGAAATTTGATCATATCACCCTTTCTTGCTTATGCACAGAAGTGGCCTTCAGCATGGCCTATAAGGTTGCAAATGGCTGCTCTTTATCTCATGCTTAGAAAGCACTTTTTCCTTTCTTTATCCAGTTAACTCCTATTCCTTTTTTAGACTTAAGTTGAAACAGCCCTTTCTGAGAGAAACTTTCTTTAACAATCCAGATGATTTTTTAAGTGTACACATTGTGTTAGAGAATCCCCTGAGACCACTCTCTAATCCAGTGATTTGTTAGAAGGACTTGCAAGATCCAGAAGTTGTTATATTCATGGTTATGGCTTAGTAGAGCAAAAGATATGAAAAAATCAGCAGGGGTGAAGTCCAGAGGAAACCAGGCATAAATTGTCAGGAGTTCCCTACTAGTGGAATTGCATGCTTAATGTGACATGTTACAATATGTGCAAAGAGCTACCTACCAGGAAGCTCACTTACTGGAGCCTGAGTTCAGGATTGTGAGAGGGAATCCATCATGTAGACATACAGTGGCTCTTTGTACTTGCCATCAGTGGCTGGAGCTCCAGACTGCGGAAAAGCAGGTGTTTATTATAACTCATTGTTTGTACAAACTCTGGACAAACTACAGGAACTGCTGCAGCATGGCTCAGGGTCCTAGCTGTGCAAAGCACTCTTTTATCAATCAGAACATTCCAAGAGCTTAATTATCAGGAGCCAGTCAAGAGACAGTCATGGAAATGGGCTCTTCATGGGAATATCCAAGGTGTGAGCAACCCAAGCCTGTTGAGTTAACCCTTTTATAAACACATTTATATGTGTATAATATGCGATTCTTCATACACGTATACATGTATGGGTGTATGCACATGTATTAGGCCATTCTTACATTGCTATAAAGAAATACCTGAGACTGGGTAATTTATAAGGAAAAGAAGTTTAATTGGCTTAGAATTCTGCAGGGTTTATAAGAAGCATGGTGCCAACATCTGTTTGGCTTCTGGGGAGGCCTCAGGAAGCTTTTACTTACAGCAGAGGGCAGAGAGGGAGCAGGTATCTCATATGACAAGAACAGGAGTGAGAGAGGGTGTTGGAAGGTAGGTACCATACACTTAACCAGGTCTTGCTAGAACTCACATCACAAAGACAATACCAGGGCATTAGGGATCTGCCCCCATGACCCAGCACATCCCCCCGGGCCCTACCTCTGGCATTGGGGATTACAATTCAACATGAGATTTGGGTGGGGACAAATATTCAAATTATGTCAGCACATATCCATATATTAAATGTCAGAACTATTAATCCCTTTGTGTACTTATCAGAGTTATAGTTTTACATTTATCCTGTGATGCTTTTATAGTTCTTATTAGACTATATATAAAGTTCTTGAAGGTAGAAATTTGTTTCATTTTTTTCTCTTACCATTATGTCTCTGGTTTTAGTAGGTACTCAATAAATATAAATATTTCCTAAATGAATAAGTAATTATTTATCTGAAAACAACATAAAACATCATTTTTAATGATGAAACTCTGGAAGCCTTACAATTACAACAGGATCAATATAATTGTCCTTATGATTTAGCATTATTATAAAAGGACATAACTGTTAGAAATGAGAAAATAAAAGTGTTGCATGACAAGACTGTATAACTGAAACTCCTCAAAGAAAGCTACTATAACTAATAAGGGGCCTTAATAAAATGGGTTTGAAGTGACATGATAAAGATCAAAAGCGTTTCTTTAAAAATCTATTTGGAAGACAATGATTTATTCACAATAACATAAAAATGTAAATACCCTAATAATAACCACTGTACAACAATGTATAATTTCAATACCTGATAATAAAAACTAGAATTTAACTGAGGAAGTGTGAATTGGCATATCCTTTTGAAGAGTTGTGCCTGTGGTGCCCTTACAATGATACGTAGTTTGATCTAGTAATTTCACTCCTGGAAACCATCATAAAGAAATAATAGGAAATGGAAAAAAAATCTTTATGCCCAAAGATATTTTTATCATTACATATTTTTAAAACAAACAAAATAGAAACTAGTTAGGTATGTAACAGAGAAATGTTACAAATTGTACATTCACACAATCGAGTATAATTAAGACATGAAAATTATGTTCATAAATGTGACAAGATAATTCTGTTAAGTAAAAAATTTAGAATTATGTTATATAAAGATGACACAAGATCAGAAAGAAATATATCAAAATTTAAGGCATTAATGGGTGATAAGGTTTAGCAAGTAGTTTTAATTTTTTCTTCATGTTTTTCTGTGAATTCCAAACTTTTAACTATGGGTATGTATTATTTACATGATCATAACAAAAGAGTTTTTTTTTAAATTGATACACAATATTTTACATATCTATGAGAATCACGTGATATTTTCTTATGTGCATAAAATGTGTAATGATCAAATCAGTATATTTGGGGTATCTATCACTCTCAGTGTTTATCATTTCTATGTGTTGGGAACATTTCAAGTCCTTTTTTCTAGCTACTTTGTATTTAATATATTGTTGCTAACTATAAACCCTACTTTGCCATTGAATAGTAGAATTTATACTTTCTAACTGTATGGATAACTGTTTGTACCTATTGACTAACCTCTCTTTATCAACTGCTCACACCAGCAAGTGCTTCCAGCCTCTGGTGTCTATCATTCTACTCATAATTCCATTAGGTCAATATTTTTAGCTCCCACTTAGGAGTGAGGACATGGGATATTGGTCTTTCTGTGTCTGACTTATTTCACTTAACACAGTGACCTCTAGTTTCATCCATGTTGCCGCAAATGACATTTCACTATTTTCTGTGGCCAAATAATATTCCATTTTGAATATATACCACATATTCTTTTTCTATTCATCTGTTGATAGACACTTATGTTGATTATGTATATTTACTATTGTGACTAGTGCTATAATAAACATGCAAGTGCAGGTATCTCTTTGAGATGTTGATTTATTTTCCTTTCAATAAATACCCTGTAATAGGATTGCTGGATTGGATGGTAGTTCAGTTTTTAGATTTTTGAGACATTTTCAAAGTGTTTTCCATTATGGTTATACTAGTTTACATTCCTAGCAACTGTACAAGAGTTCCTTTTTTCTGCATCCTCACCAACAGAACCATTTATTCAAGAGGGTGTCCTGTCCCAAATGTATGTTTTTGGCACCTTTATCAAAAATCTAATACCAGTTGGCTGTAAATATGTGAATTATTTTCCTGGATTCTCTATTCTCTTCCGTTAGTCTGTGTGTCTGTCTTTATATCAGTACCATGCTGTTTTGGTTACTGTAGCTATATTTTCAAATTGGGTGGTGTGACGCACCCAGTATTGCCTTTGGATGTTCAGGCTCTTGTTTGGTTCTATACAAATTTTAGGATTTTTTTTCTATCTCTGTGAAAAATAACCATGACTTAATAGAGATTGTATTGAATCTGTAGATTGCTTTGGGCAGTATCGTCATTTTAATATTTATCTGAACTATGAACATGGGATGTTTTTCCATTTGTGTCTTTTTCAATTTCTTTCAATCAGTGTTTTGTGGTTTTTCTTGTACAGATCTTTTATCTCCTTGGTTAAATTAATTCCTAATTACTTTTTGCAGCTACTGTAAATGGGATTACCCTTTTGATTTCATTTTTGGCTATTTCATTATTGGTGTATAGACACACTGTTGATTTTTGTATACTGATTTTATAATCTGCAAATTAATGAATTTATCAGTTCTGAGAATTTTCTGGTCGAGTCCTTGATTTTTCTAGATATACAATCATGTTGTGTGCAAAGAGGGACAGTTTGACTTCATTTTTTCCAATAAAAATAAAATAAAGTGGATGCATTTTATTTGTTTCGTTTGCCTGATTGTTTTGGTTAGGACTTAAAGCACCACAGTGAATAGGAGTAGTGAAAGTGGGCATCCTTGTCTTGTTCCAGTTTCTAGAACATTTCAGCTTTTCCACAGTGCATATGATGTTAGCCGTGTGTTTGTCATTTCTGGCCTTTGTTTTGTGCTGAGGTATACTCCTTTGTTGCCTTGTTTGTTCAGAGTTTTTAATCATGATTGAATGTTGAATTTAATCAAATACTTTTTCTGCATCTATTGAGAGGAATTTTTTTTTCACTCTGTTGATGTGATGTATGACATTTGTTGATTCATGTATGTAGAACCATCCTTGCATCTCTGGGGTAAATCCCACTTGGTCATGGTGTATTATCTTTTTGATGTGCTGTTGGATTTGGCTTGCTAGTATTT